ATCAGAGCAAACCTCGCTTTTCAGACCCGGGACATTTGTAAAAATCGACACCTTTTAGAAAGGCGGGGCATAAAGGAGAAACAATAATGTAAAGTATGTGGAAAATAATGTGTCTTTTGAACCTTAAACCACATAAACACATTTCATTACAAGAAATACACAAAATAATGTTCTTTTTAGCAACACCATATGACCCCTTTAATTTTTAGCGAGCCGAAAAGAATGCACGTCACACCTCTGTTTATCAGTTTGCACTGGCTACCAATAGCTGCTCGCAAATTATATTCTTTATAAAAAAAAAAAAAAAAAACTTGCCCCTTTTAGACTTGCACTCTATTTATTTACTAACTGCTTGTTTTCTTAAAAAAAGAAAAAAGAAAAAAAAAAGAAAAACTAGCACTTGCTTCTCTAATCTTGTTGCATTCTATCTGTTTTCTTTTTATTTATTATACAATTATAATTCTGACTTTCTGACTTCTGATTAACAAAAGCAAAAAAGGCCTCTAACACTAGCTTGCTCTATTCTTTTTCTATTCTATGTTTTCTTTTTATTTATTATATGATTTAAAAAAAAAACTTGCTACGTGTACTGCATTAAGCTAACTGAGACTTGTTATAGCACTCGCATATCATTGCACTTTTGTTGATTTTGATTGCTTCTATTGTCCTCATTTGTAAGTCGCTTTGGATAAAAGCGTCTGCTAAATGTCTATATGTAAATAAATAATACTAAAATAGAAAGAGAGAATGGGGGTTAAAAACGAGAGATACTGAAAATTTAAGAGATAGTGTTTTTACTTTTTTACTTTCATTCCTATCTTTATTTCAATGCTATCCATTTAATCTTTCTTCAATAACTGTAAGCATTTCTTTTTGTATTTTTAAAAGCTAATTAAAAAAATTTAAATGGAATTATGAATTCTGTTTCAATTGTTTTTTTTATATTTGGTTATTTTTCACAGAAATCATTTAAAACACAAAAATAATCAAGGAAGTGGTTTGGAACGACATGAGAGAAAGAAACTGATGACAAATTTTTATCTTTGGGTAAACTATCCCTTTAAATGGGATATTTTGGATAAATGGGATATTTGTCATGTCTGACAAACACTATCAAGCTGTGCAAGTTATGTGCCAAATTGTAACATTTTGGGGTGTATTCAAATACCTGCAAATTGCAGTGTTGACATAATTTTGTAGGCCAACCCATAATCAGCATCTCAATCTGGTTTCCTCAACAAAACCCCAATTTTGAAGCCTAGATGCAATCTCCAGAAGTAAAAAGTTAAATGCAGGATATAAACAAATTACACCACAGTCGCAAGACTTCACCGTCACTTGCCATTAAACATTAATTTTGTTTGGAATGATTATATTTAATGTCTCTGACAATCTTTTCAGTCCCATTTAGCCACTTTATAGCAACAGTTTTTTCAAGACAAGTAAAAGCTTTGAAAAAACACAAGGGCATGTATTGATGTATTGTATGCCATAGAGTAAAACATCAAAATATCTTGAGCTTATGTAAACCACAGACCTTATTTCAGGCATTTAACCAAAAACCCATTGGCTTCGAGACGACAGAACTGCAAGTGCTAAGACGCAACTTCGTTTCCGGGTTTTGACCTACAAAAACATCCCTGCACCCCACTCAAAGCTTATTAAAAGTTAAACAGTCATGCTATAGATGTAAACTGTGTCAGTGTTTTGAGGACAGTTGTCTTGAGTTGAGTCAGCTGCTGGAGGTGCTGCAGCAGGTGTGCAGGTGACAGAAGGAAGTGGGATGGAGGGGTGACATATCAACTCCCACATGAAGTCTGAACACAGTAACTTGGGTAATTCAGCCCCCAACAGAGTATGTGAGCGGAGTGGAGCGGCAACAATTTCCCCTCCACGCTCCAAGCATTCAATAATCACTCCGCTCCAGCTCCGGGTTCACCATTTCCCGCTCCCGCTCCACTCCTCGCTCCACTGATCAGAAGCAATGCTCCGCGGCTAAATTATTTCACTATACTTGAAAAATCAAAGTTCTGTTCAGAAATTATATTAAACGAAAAATAAATGCATAATACTAAAAGAATAGTTTTAACATGGTTTATTGGAACACAACAATTAGCCCAAGTCCATATTAAATGACTGCTTAACTCCTTTAGCTTACTTGTCTGTGCAACGTCTCTCTTATATGACGAAGCTGAGGGTAGTTAGTTACTTCAGAAACAGAAAAATATGCTGTAACTTTTCCGTTTTTAAGCTGATAAATCACAGGACAGTGTTGACCAAATTTTCTTGATTCCTGAATGTATGCGCACGATCTGTACGTTATGTGCGAGCTTGTGTGTTCTGTCCATGTCCAGCAATGTAGCAGCACATTAGTTTCGAGCGGCGATTAACAAACTGTACAATTTACAACATGCTTTAACCTCCCACACTCGTCCATCGCCATTTTAACCTTCATATGTGATCCACATATCTGTCAAGCTAACTAATTATGTTTAATGCAGGAGTTAGCATAATTTGAAATTGTGCTCATGACGGAGCGGTAGTGGAGCATTCTCGGAGCGAGTGAAAACCTCAATGCTCCGAAAAAAATCCGCTCCTAGCTCCAGGCAAAATCACGCCGCTCCACTCCTCGCTCCGCTCACATACTCTGGCCCCCAACACAGAATCACCATGTCCACCTGCACTGGACTAACCGCAGAGACGGTGATAAATAGATTCTGTGGCTGGGCTGAGAGCTGAACAGGAATGTATGGAAGAGCGTGAAGATTCGTCTACAACAGGTTGATGAACTGAGAAATCAAACTTTTGAACATAAGAGTTAACTGTACTACAAAAACATTGTGTGCAAGTTTCATAACTTAAAACTTTCACGTTAGTCCAAAAACAGCCTTTGTTGAAACCAAGCTGCTAAAACGGCGTTTCGTTTCATATTTCATCTCAATATAATGTCATAGTGTGACAAAAGATCAACGCCTACTTCTACATCATTGTCTCCCACCCATTCATGCATGTAGGAGTAGGCGAGTAAATATGAAAGAGACACAAACACAGGATTACTCAAGCAAGAAAATGATAGAGATTCATCCAAGGATTATGTACAGCTAGCTAATAAGAGGTCTGTATAAAAGGTGTTTATTGTGTTTGAAATGGTTTTGCGCTTGGCATTGCTCAAAGAATCTGGTAATGTCCCAACTCACAAGTGTGAGTAACAATGCTTTTGCCATGTGTCACTATTGCTTTGTCTATTACAGATTGTTTGATATGTATAGAGTATTTATACATTTTTAACCACAATGACACATACTGTTTTCAAAGGACATCACAGCAGTGTCCATCTATTATTTTAATAAGCAAAATTCTTAGCCAATCATGGCTGTGAGCGTTCACGTCCAAGTCTTAAAGGGGTCATATGATGTTGCTAAAAAGAACATTATTTTGTGTATTTGGTGTAATGAAATGTGTTTATGCGTTTTAAGGTTCAAAAAACACATTATTTTCCACCTACTGTACATTATTGTTTCTTCTCTCT